TTATATCTATTGATCCATTTCTCTTGTTTATTAACAGACCTGACGTATTTGCACTAGACGCAGATCTACTTGTGCTTAGTCACCCAGGGAGGGGACATACAAAAGGGGGGTGGGGGTAGGGTGGGGAGGGGTTGATGTTTCGAACAACGGATCAATATCATGGCACACGGGTAGTAACCCATAAGTGCTCCGTTCTCCTTCTAACTCAAGCCTGAGTCCGAAGAAGCTCAGCACAGTGCACAAGCTCTGTAGCGCCGGCGAGGATCCTGAAATACTTTGGGTAGATTTTTAACTCCAAATTTTACCTGTGTAGCGCCGTTAGGCTAATATTTTCGATTTCCAACGTGAGCAACAATGCACAGGGGCATCCGATCGCACTACCCAGAGACCAGGGTGAATTTTCAGTGCAATTTTCCATGTGAGAGATGCAGCACTCAGTTTACTGTCTCCGTGTTGTTTTGGGCCCCCCATTTTTTCTCTTTCCCTCTGGTGTCCAAGTGAGAGCTGTTTTGGCAGGTATATCAGAATTCATTCTCATAACCTGCCCAAGCCATTCCCATCTTCGCTTGGCTATCATACTTTCTAGGGTTTCTTGATTTGTGACTTGACATGTCTATAGCACATGTTCAGTACTCTCTGGTTCTTGTCTATAGGGGCAGAGTTCTAAATCCCCAGTCTTGAATTTCTTGTACATAAGGCTGCAGAGTCGTGTGTCTAGTACGCAGTCAGTATATGATGGTCTGTTTCTTTCGTGTGAGGAGGTTGTCGTGATGATGATAGCGGTAGTGATAATGAAGAAGATGCTCACCAAAAACAAATGCCATCGTACCCGCCCCCTTCCTTTGTACATATATTCCCTACAGAGATGTATCAACATTTGAATTCTGAGGTATCTAGGACAAACGAAACGTTGGGCAACCCAAGGAGACTTGCTGCCGAAGTGCCTGCTTGTGGAAGCAACACAACTGATAACCCAGTATTTGAAACCATGGGCAAAGAAAAAGGAGAAGAAGAAGAATTCTTGCACCTCAATGCTTCGTTTTTTCAGCTGAACACACGAAATGACGGGGGAAAACCGACACGATTAATCAGCCACTCAGTAGATCGATCAATGCTTCAACAACGAATGACGGCATCGATCTCTTTCAAAGGAGTCTTGTATTGCACAAACATGGTATCGAGTGTCCAAGGGAGAGTTAATGCCGCGGTAAAACCAAGCATGTTATCTTTGACACCTGGCTTTTATAGAGATCCGCATTCAGTGGGTATTGTTTTATATCTATTGATCCATTTCTCTTGTTTATTAACAGACCTGACGTATTTGCACTAGACGCAGATCTACTTGTGCTTAGTCACCCAGGGAGGGGACATACAAAAGGGGGGTGGGGGTAGGGTGGGGAGGGGTTGATGTTTCGAACAACGGATCAATATCATGGCACACGGGTAGTAACCCATAAGTGCTCCGTTCTCCTTCTAACTCAAGCCTGAGTCCGAAGAAGCTCAGCACAGTGCACAAGCTCTGTAGCGCCGGCGAGGATCCTGAAATACTTTGGGTAGATTTTTTAACTCCAAATTTTACCTTTGTAGCGCCGTTAGGCTAATATTTTCGATTTCCAACGTGAGCAACAATGCACAGGGGCATCCGATCGCACTACCCAGAGACCAGGGTGAATTTTCAGTGCAATTTTCCATGTGAGAGATGCAGCACTCAGTTTACTGTCTCCGTGTTGTTTTGGGCCCCCATTTTTTCTCTTTCCCTCTGGTGTCCAAGTGAGAGCTGTTTTGGCAGGTATATCAGAATTCATTCTCATAACCTGCCCAAGCCATTCCCATCTTCGCTTGGCTATCATACTTTCTAGGGTTTCTTGATTTGTGACTTGACATGTCTATAGCACATGTTCAGTACTCTCTGGTTCTTGTCTATAGGGGCAGAGTTCTAAATCCCCAGTCTTGAATTTCTTGTACATAAGGCTGCAGAGTCGTGTGTCTAGTACGCAGTCAGTATATGATGGTCTGTTTCTTTCGTGTGAGGAGGTTGTCGTGATGATGATAGCGGTAGTGATAATGAAGAAGATGCTCACCAAAAAACAAATGCCATCGTACCCGCCCCCTTCCTTTGTACATATATTCCCTACAGAGATGTATCAACATTTGAATTCTGAGGTATCTAGGACAAACGAAACGTTGGGCAACCCAAGGAGACTTGCTGCCGAAGTGCCTGCTTGTGGAAGCAACACAACTGATAACCCAGTATTTGAAACCATGGGCAAAGAAAAAGGAGAAGAAGAAGAATTCTTGCACCTCAATGCTTCGTTTTTTTCAGCTGAACACACGAAATGACGGGGGAAAACCGACACGATTAATCAGCCACTCAGTAGATCGATCAATGCTTCAACAACGAATGACGGCATCGATCTCTTTCAAAGGAGTCTTGTATTGCACAAACATGGTATCGAGTGTCCAAGGGAGAGTTAATGCCGCGGTAAAACCAAGCATGTTATCTTTGACACCTGGCTTTTATAGAGATCCGCATTCAGTGGGTATTGTTTTATATCTATTGATCCATTTCTCTTGTTTATTAACAGACCTGACGTATTTGCACTAGACGCAGATCTACTTGTGCTTAGTCACCCAGGGAGGGGACATACAAAAGGGGGGTGGGGGTAGGGTGGGGAGGGGGTTGATGTTTCGAACAACGGATCAATATCATGGCACACGGGTAGTAACCCATAAGTGCTCCGTTCTCCTTCTAACTCAAGCCTGAGTCCGAAGAAGCTCAGCACAGTGCACAAGCTCTGTAGCGCCGGCGAGGATCCTGAAATACTTTGGGTAGATTTTTAACTCCAAATTTTACCTGTGTAGCGCCGTTAGGCTAATATTTTCGATTTCCAACGTGAGCAACAATGCACAGGGGCATCCGATCGCACTACCCAGAGACCAGGGTGAATTTTCAGTGCAATTTTCCATGTGAGAGATGCAGCACTCAGTTTACTGTCTCCGTGTTGTTTTGGGCCCCCATTTTTTCTCTTTCCCTCTGGTGTCCAAGTGAGAGCTGTTTTGGCAGGTATATCAGAATTCATTCTCATAACCTGCCCAAGCCATTCCCATCTTCGCTTGGCTATCATACTTTCTAGGGTTTCTTGATTTGTGACTTGACATGTCTATAGCACATGTTCAGTACTCTCTGGTTCTTGTCTATAGGGGCAGAGTTCTAAATCCCCAGTCTTGAATTTCTTGTACATAAGGCTGCAGAGTCGTGTGTCTAGTACGCAGTCAGTATATGATGGTCTGTTTCTTTCGAGTGAGGAGGTTGACTGTGTCTTCAGGATGGTGTCTTATTGTGTCCTGGGTGGAAAATGTTCCAGTGAGTTCTAACGGTTGCCCTGATCTGAGTTAAATTTTCCTCGCAATTTTCTAAGAAATGTTCGAAAAGTAAAGGTGACGAGAAGGTTTCACTGGTCCTGCTTTGAAACTACAGGTGAGGAGAAGGGTCAGCTGGGCACTGTAAACACACGAATCGTGTCGATAATAAGCGAAGGTTTAATCACAAACAATAAAAGGATATCTTCCGCGTGGCTACCTTTGAAAGACAGGAAGCTCATGTTTCGACTGCAACTAGTACTTTCTTTAACACTGGAACTCTAAGCATTCTGCTGAAGGTGTTGAAGGGGTGTTTATGGGAATGTCTCGAGTGCTGTAATGCCTGATCTTAATTCTTTACTCCAGAACAACCTTTTCAATTACCAGCTTGTTCTCTTCATCCTTCCCCTACGTCTTCTGCTTCTTCTGCTTCTTCTTCTTCTTCTTCTTCTTCTTCTTCTTCTTCTTCTTCTTCTTCTTCTTCTTCTTCTTCTTCTTCTTCTTCTTCTTCTTCTTCTTCTTCTTCTCCTTCTTCTTCTCCTCTTCCTCCTCCTTTTTTTTCTTCAGCTTCTTCTTCTTCAGCTTCTGAGCCGAAGAGGTTTATAAATGTAGATACCACCATCCGCTGATTTCTGTGACTGGTTTTCTCTATGGAATTGGTGACTCCAGGTGTTTGTAGCACTGCATGAATAGTATCTACCCACCGTCTTCTTGGTCTGCCTCGTAGTTTACTCATATTCAGTCTTTTGTGTTCTCAATTTATTTAGCTTTGTTATCTGCTATTCTCTCTGTGTGTCCTAACAGTCGCAGTCTATCTGCCTTTAGGATGCCTGTAATTAATGGTAATTGAAATATATTATGGATATCGTTGTTGCTTCTTATTCTCCGTTCTACTCAATGTATATATATATAATGTCCTTAATTAATGTTTTAAATATTTTTTCCTTCCCAGATACAATCGAAAAACTGATTGCTGAGCAATACGTCAAAGGATCTCATCAACAGAGATTACCAAGAATATAGCTGAAAAAAATATGCTTAACTCATCTATAGGTGGTCTTTTAATAACTTTGATATAAGTGAGGAAAGCCTTTTCCCTTCTTCATATGCAGGACTCGCCACCTCGTTCGTTGTCTCATAGCATTTGTTGCTGGTGCATTTGTATTTGACTGCACGATAACCAGAATATTTTAACTAGTAACTCCCACTGTTTACAACTAGACAGTGATAAATATATTGACTTCTCATGATACTCGTCAGATACAAGAAGAAATGCACAGCTGTTAGAAATCCTGCTAGACAAGAAACAAAATAGCGGAAGGCAACGGGAATTGGTCAACAGAAAATAACAGTTTTCTTGCTTGAAAGCACTAACCAGACTGTGTGACCACGGAGTAAAGTATGGCGAATACGTTCTTGCCGCCTGTGAGATCAAGACAGAAGATTTACTGAGCAGTCAGTATAACTATCTTGGGATGGTTTCTGCGAGAGACTGGGCACGTAGGGTGGTGGTCAATGTTCTGTAACGTCGATCGTCAAAACTTAAAGTTTTAATATAAAAATTACAAGCATATTGCAACAATCAACACTCTCAATCCAATTTTTCCGGATATTTTACGACTATCGGTTCTGTTTTCAAAATGGCATCCAGTCTCAGCAGATCGCCAGTTGACGTGACAAAACGGAGACCGCTGCTGCTCAGAAGCAAACAGCTAAATGGCGGTTTGTTAAAGGCAAGTGCTAGAAAGATATTGATGAGTATAAGCCAGATGTCACCCGAGGCCCAAAGAGCGATGACACTGACGCAAGAGGACGCCAAGGAAAACGTGGCCAAAACTGAAAATACCAAACAAAAGAACAAGAGAATGCAGTGTCATGATCAAAGTAGAGACATGAGTAGTTTATGCACTGGCCGTGATCAAATTATTGACGCTGCAAGAGATTCTAGATCTGGATCTCGATTACTAGCGGGAGCTCCTGGGGTCAACATACGGGTGTTACCTAGAAGCAGGCGGATCACTGCCTCGTCTTTTGGGACTTCTGTTCAGACAGGCACTTTTAGATCCCGCAGCACCCTCTCCATTACCGAACGTAACAACTCAATCAGCGACAACACGGACAGCTACTACAACTACAAAAGCGCCAAAAAAATTGACGGAACCATCAACAGAAACAACCACCACATCAAAGACGATGATAGCATAAGTAACAGTCCAACAACATCTGAGCCAAAACCAGACGTGGTACAAAGTTCGACGGATGAATCAAACAATAATAACATCGGCGAAGTTAACAATAATTCCGAGCTTCCTAAAGAAGAACAAACAAGGCGACATGAAAATGTGCAGGCTGGGGTTCGCAAAGAAGAACAATCAAGACGACCGGAAAGTTTTGTGCTGGCCTTAGACCGCGCTCTGGAAGATAAGTGTATCAGTCGCCTTAGCGGTGATATCACCAACACTGCTGGGATATCAGAAGTGGGCAGAGTGAGAGCGCTAGACGGCGGACGGCTGACCAACGCCCAGGAGATTGTGGTCAATGTTCGTTATGACGACGACAGAGAGTTGATCTTCCATGACAACGATGAGGAGAGCCTCAACAACGCCAGAGCCACGTCAAACATCAGAATTAACTTGTGGTTGGAATACAACGAGGGTTTCCAGTCAGAAAATATAGTCGAAGACATTAAAGTCTTCTCGACGAATTACAACGAAGGACAAAATGGCCAAACTTCAGGAGTTACAACTTACGGCAATCCACCTTCGCTTCCAAAACCGAGAGGCATAAATCTGAATAGACCTGCTTCAAATAGGACAAACGCATTAACAAAACAGACCAGTAAAACCAAAAGTTCAGCAGTAAAGACGGATTTGAACAATAATAAAATAAATTGTAAGCCGAAGACAAACATTTTCAAAAATGGCAGAAACAATTTGTGTTCAAAGAATGGCTCTACCGAGATATGTGATGGCAGCAAAAGACAGGTGTCTTCCTTTAGAAATGGGATTAAAAAGTAG